CAAAAAAAAAAAAAAAAAAAAAAAAAAAAAAAAAGACCGTACAGGATTCAGCCTCCTGATGAGTCGGTGAAACTCCGACGGAACGGTCCCGTTTCTCACAACCCCTCCTCATTTGTTCTCCTCTTCTCCCTCCCTCTCTGCCTACGTACGGTTTACAAGGCAGTTCTCGATGACTATATATTGTCACAGAACTATTCACTAAGAGCGTAAGCACGTGAACTAGAAAAAGAAACAAGATGAGCGGAGAAAAGAAAAATGAAAGGACACACAGGCAAAGAGACAGACAGGCAAAGAGACAGACAGGCAAAGAGACAGAAAGGCAAAGAGACAGACAGGCAAAGAGACAGAAAGGCAAAGAGACAGACAGAGACAGACAAGCATATGCCGGGTAAACCGTACGTAGGTAGAGAGGGAGGGAGAGGAGGAGTGGAGAAGAGGACACACAACACGAGGGAGGGGTTGTGACAGACAAACTGTTTCGTTGGACTGTTTCACCGACTCATCTCATAGATATACATCGTCACAAAGTTATCAGAGAGCAAAAGCGAAAAAAAAACAAAGGGAACAAAAAAAGAAATCAATTCATTTTTTATCTTCTTACTTACAACTGCCCCTGTTCAGAAGCTCCTCTTGCGTACAAGGCCTCCCATGTGGATGTGGTTGAGCGGCGGCTGCCCCCACCCCCGTGTGTCATCAATCAATCAGTTTGTTAACCACAAGTCTTTGTGAACTAACTGGTTAATTGGATTTCTTTTAATTATTTTTTTTTATGGCTCCATTAATTGGATTGTTCTGAGGCAATTTTATGACAACTTCGCTCTGGTTAATTAATTCGTTGATTAGAAAATAGTTATAGATATTAGATAGTTAATTATAGCTGGCCGATAGATTGGTACCTGGTTTCCAATTCGCTCTTCCCCCGAATAGAACGCCCGGTCAGTATAGCCGTATTTGGTCCAATTTTCAGTCGAGATGCAGCTATAATGACCGGGCGTTCTATTCGAGTGAAGACGGTAGCAAGCAGGAAGCAGAACAGGGGTACATCCTTCCTGTGAGGAAGCAATCAATGCCCCCCCCCCACCTTTTTGTAACAAAAAAATAGGGGTACATCCTTCCTGTGCTGAAGCAATCAATGGCCCCCATTTTTCGTTAAAAAAAAAAACAGGGGTACATCCTTCCTGTGAAGAAGCAATCAATCCACTCCTTTTTTGTTATTTTTAAAACAACAACAACAAACAGGTACGTCCTGTGAGGAAGCAATCAATTTCCCTCTTTTTTGTTATTAAAAAAAAAAGTTACCTTCCTGTGAGGAAGCAATCAATGCCCCCCTTCTTTCGTTAAAAAAAAAAAAAAAAAAAAAAAAAAAGTACGACGCCCTTCCTGCTATGAAGCAATCAAAATGCCTCTCGAGAAGAGGGGTTCTCTCGGCCGGATGAGAGAGAGGCGTGTTTGAGTTTTGTTCCTAGACGAGACGGTGGACCAGATTCCCAGGGGCAAGGTACCACTAGCAAACAGGATAGGATTGAAGGTCTGAATCTGGACGCGTTTGCCAAAAAGTGCACAATCTCACGATAGATCTGCTGTTCTGCATCTGTGTGTTAAACACGTCCAGATTCAGGCGGTTAATCCAATCCTCTTTCCAAGTGGGACCTCGCCCCAGCTCTTTTTGTAATAAAGCCAGGTCTTTTGTCGAGGGAAAAAAAAAAAAAAAAAAGATGACCTCTTTTTCATAATTATACTCTTTTTTTTTCTTGAACAACGAGAATGTTACAAGTAGAACGATAGCGAGAAGATTTTCTTCTTTTTTCTTTCCCTCTTTCCCTCTTTCCTCTTTTTCATAATTTAACCCATGACTTCTTTTCTTAAATAACGAGAACGTTATAATTCGAACGATACGGAGGAGTTTTCCCCCCCCCCCCCCTTTTTAAAGTCGGATGATACAGAGAAGATTACCCCACGCAAGAATAACACCGAAGAAAACGCAAGAAACAAAGGAGTTTTTTTCTAGGCTACCAGAGTGGCCGGGTCCACCTG